TGTATTAAAGACTCGTTGAGTACCCTTAGTATAAATCATCATGGCAAAGAATAGCGATTCTTTGGAAATTACTGATCATGGTCATCGGAAACCAAGATCCGGCAGGGAAACCATCATCATAGTAATGGAGTGGCAATAATGGTCACAAAGAAAATAAGTAAGTGGATTATAAATTTTGTACCAGTATCAGATAGAGTTATATTAGTCGCACGCATCGAAAACAGCACAACAAATAAAATTCAAATTAGAAAAGGAGTTAGACAAGGAGTGTGCTATCACCAATGCTATTTAATCTTTATTTGGAAGAAACTATAAAAAAAGCATTGTAGGAAGAAGAGATTGAGATAAAAGTTAATGGCCAACCAATTAGTAATATTAGATACGCAGATGATACGGTTTTAATGGCGGAGATAGTAGAAGATCTGCAAGCCATTTTAAACAAGATAGTCACAGCTAGTGAAGAGAAAGGCTTAACAATGAATCTCAAGAAGACGAAATTCATAATTATTAAAAAAAAACAAAGATTGAATGCTAACCTGTACATTCACAATAACGAAATCGAACGGGTGCACAAATATAAATATTTGGAAACAAGTTTTAATAACAACAGTGACATCATAGAAGAAATAAAAACTAGAATTGGAGAGGCTCGAGCTGCTTTTGTTAATATGAAGGATATTCTGGGAAGTTATGACATTAACTTATACATGAAAATGAGATTGGTTAGGTGCTACATCTTTTCGATACTGCTGTACGGAATAGAGACTTCGACTCTAAACAAGAGCAATATTGATAAACTAGAGGCCTTCGAAATGTGGATATATAGAATAATTTTGAAAATAGCTTGGACAGACAAAATATCAAATAGTGTAGTTCTTTGAAGAATGAACAAAGAACCGAAGCTATTGATCACCATCAACAGAAGAAAATTGGAATATCTTGATCATGTGATGAGAAGAAAAAAGTACCGATTGTTCCAGTTAATTATCCAAGGAAAGATTCAGGGTATACGAAGCGTGGGGAGATGACGTTTATCTTGGCTTCGCAATTTAAGAGACGGGTTCCAGTGCACATCTAAACAATTATTTAGAGCAACAGCTTCAAAGATACGATTAGCAATGACGATTGCCAAATTCCATAGCAAAGAGGGCACTTGAAGAAGAAGAAGTATTTAGTTGGATTATAAGTTATCTTTAAGAAACAGGTATAACATTTCTAATATATTAAAGTAATTAAGAAGATATGATTACTTCAAAGCCATACATATGTTCACCGTCATCATTTCCTGATTGGTGTACCATACGGTTGGCCACCTTATTTTGCTTATGCCTATTATACCTATTTCAAGTCTGGTCATTTCTTGAATGACACTAAGGAGTTTTCCAACCTGATATATTGTCTTCACATTTCAGGTACACATTTTGATAATCAACTCCGAAGTTTTCATAGACATTTTTCTAGTTCTGTCACAGACATTTCTCTGGGTTACGACCTGGGAGGTCCTGAAAACTAAAAATGGATCACCTCCCATGCCGAATCTTGGCTTCTGTATTCCTGATTAGTAGCTGTTTCCACTTTAGTTTTGTTTGCCACGATAGCTATACTAGAGAAGTTACCAGGGACCTTTAATGCATTGGTTTCTCATTGCCTTCTGCATTCTGATGACGATAACTTTCTTGGTTCTTACGCCTTCCAGACCAATTTCTTAACCTCTGACCACAGCTGTGCTCTTCCACTTACTGGCTTATCCGCCTGAATCTGTTGGTCAGTAAATGGCGTATTGTTTATACCTATTAACCATTAGCTATCCCACCCCGTTAAACATAGCAAAAATATTTCTATCCCAAAAACACCAAAGACTTTAAGTGTGAACGAAAAAGAACTTGAAAGTTTTAAGCCTGTATCTGGTGTTATACAATTGGAAAACAAAATATACAGTTATACGCTATTTCAAGAACCAGAATGTTCCTTAAAATCCCATCTAATGTCACAGGCCGAATTTAATTATTTAAGACATAGGTTTTAAAACAGTGGTGTTTAATTTTGACAATAACAAAGTTCTTGTTACTGAATTACATACTGCCTACATGGAAATAGGTGGGAACATATCTGTAAAAATTCACCTCCTGGATTCTCATCTGAATTTCTTTCCAGAAAATTTACGTGCTTAATTGACGAACATGGAGAACGGTTTGATCAAGACGTTGTAGACTTGTAGAACCGTTACTAAGGTAAATAAAGTCTTAGTCTGCTGGCAGATTACTGCTGGAAATTAATCTGTGATGCTTATGCGAATGAGTATTGCCGTAAAATGTCATAAAATTTTAAGGGAAATGCACTTTGAGGAAAGTACTAAAATTGATATATTTTCCTTACAATACTCAATTGATTGTAGCAAATAAAATGTGGGGGATAAAAAAAATTCAAGTTTTCTTTTGACTTGCTAATGATATTATACACAATGAACACTGTGTTTTATCCATGTATCTAAAAAAGTGGGTTTTTGTTGACCAGTGAGTATTATAGTTATCTTTTGTTTTGTTATTTATCAAATTATATATTACTTTTTAAGTTTGTATCGACTTTTATGAGGTCTTTTAGACTATAATATATACTGTAATGTAGGTTTCTTGTTAAATGAATAAATAAATTTGCATCTACTATTTATAGATTTTCAGGAGACCGTTAACTTTTATAAATAAGCAAATATTAATATTAAACATAAATAAAATATTAAAATAATAAAATATATTAAATATAATAAAAAATATTAATATACCATAAAAAATAATCAGGCTAAGGGAAATTGCAATGAAAGATACATAGATGATGCTATACTATATTTGTAACATTTTAGACATTTTTTAATATATTAGTTCTTCGTTTAAGCTTACTTTCATTAATTTTTAGATATAGTTCTTACCCAACTTCTTCCGACGATCTATATCCTGAACAACACTGTATTTTCAATTTGTTCCGGCTATGTTGTGTTTTTTTCTGTATCATATGTAATGATAGAAAGTATGTACAGGTTAAACATATTGCTTCTCAACTATTAGGGTATTTTGCGGTTCTTAAGTATCCAACTGAGTTTTCCAGCTCCTGCATTCCAGCTTTGTTTTGATAGTGATTTCTGCACTTTGGTTCTTTTTGTTAATTTTCAGAATGTGTCCCAGATTGATATACTTCTGGACTTATTCTATCTCACTGCCATTTATAGTTTAACATCTGGGGTCGTCTATATTTATCAATGTTTTTGTTTTTGTCATATTCATTTTAAGTTTGACATATTGGAAGCTGTCTGAGTTTTTCTTCATCATAATTTGTAATTCCTCGAATTTGCTCCATATAATCACGATTCCGTCAGCGAATCTGAGGTATTTTAACTCATTGTTGTTAACTTTGATGCAATATATTAATCAATTTGTAGTTTTTAAGACGTCTTCTAGGGCTAGATTATAAATCTTTAGAGATATTACGCCTTGTCCAACTGCTTTCCTAATGGGGATAAGATGTGTATTTTCGTCTAGTTGTACTATCATAGTTGCGTTTTTATATGTATAATATATTAGTTCCCATATCTCGAGTCTAATAATTTTGAATATATTACTACAGAGGAAATAACAAAACAGGAATCAGAAAAAATTTACACAAAGCTGTTATCACTATTACTACTGGTAGTAAAAAATTTAATACAAACAAAAAATCTCTTTTAAATAATGTATAAAGTCAAAGTCATTCTTGAGACGAAGTCTAAGGAAACGAAAAAAACTGAGAGTTTATAAAAATTGGACAATACAGAATCTAAAGTATAGACAAATATAGTCAATAGCTAAAGTAAGAAAATCACGTAAATAAGTGAAAATTAAATGCGGTTATTAGAACGTACTGGTAGCATCAAAGATAACTAAAAGATAGGAATGTTAATACTACAACCACAATAAAGATTTTATTATGTAAATCAGACCTAGAACTACGTAAGTAACGTACCTTACTAAGGGTGATGAAGAAAAATGTAGAATCCTAGAAATTAATATACTTAAAGAATTTTGAGACCTACAGAAAACTTAACAAGGAAATTATGGCGACCATGGCAACAACCTGTAATGATAATAAATCAGAGAAAATTCTAATTCATTTTACATGCAAATCAAATCAGTAGAGCGTATATATGAGCAGCTTATAGTCCTTACAGGGATATCTGTACGAGTAAATGAGACTTAAATATAATAGAAGCTAATAAAACCCTTGGCTTATTAACAATATCATTGGTAAATCAAAAGACATAAAAATAATTATTATAAAAAATGGTTTGCAAAATATAAAATAGAAAATCGTATGACAGTATATACTGCCACACGTATTTAATATTCAATGTAATAAATGATGATAAAGTTATGGGATCAAAAAGAGAAAGTTATTGCCTTTTTAACTACGTAATGTTTATTACCAAATTAATCATTAAAAACATCAGAATAATAGTTTTAATTACTTAACATATTCTTTATTTCTAGGAAACTCTTTCCCTTTGTCTCTGGTAGGAAAAAATATAAAACAGCACAACCAATTAAATTAACAATACTAAAGAAAAACATACAGTAATGTTCTCCAAAATAGTCAGCAGCAATAGGATATGCAAATGACGTAGAAATAGCGCAAATGTCTCCAAAAAATTGACAGATGCTACTACCTACAGATCTTATATCACTAGGAAGTAACTCAGCTACTAAAGTATAAGGTATGCAACTAAGACCAATAGAAAATACTATAACAAAGCAAATTAGGCAAAGCACTGGTACTATTTTAACAGCATAAGGTATTTCATAACTGTTTTGTTGAAAATAAAAATAAAATCCCAAAACAAACATTGAAATACCACAAACAAAAGTTGCCATTAAAATCAAAACTTTGCGTCCTACTTGCTCAACAATATATGTACCCACAAACGCTGCACTAAATTTGATGCTTACAACTAGTATCGACAAAATATTTCCATTTACCTCTGGTACAGCTTCACTTAAAATTGGATTAAGGAAAGCTGCTACTATATTCGGCCCTGCAGAATTCTGTATGATTAAAACTGTAGCTGCAATATAAAATCCCTTTCTAACACCCATATCTTCCTTTATGCGCTTAAAAAAACTTGTCTTTGGCAAACAATCACTTTTGACCATATTTTGTGTATCCAAACACTCATTCTCGATATCTGTAATAAGTTTGTGTTTTCTTAATTTCTTAAGTGCTAAAATAGCCTCATCTTTTCTTCCCTTCATTAACAAATATTCTGGGGATTCAGGCAAGTACGTACAACACATAAGACACACTAGTGCAGGTATTCCGCATAGTAAAGAAAAAATACTAACAGAAGTCACAGCGCCAATAATGTTTCCGTATAACTCGCCAAATATTATTCCAAAGGTCATAAAAAATCCCAAACGACCTCGATTATGGTCTTCAGCAATCTCCGATGTATAAGTGGGTATTAAAACTGGTCCACCACCTAAACTTACTGATATAATGTATTTAAATATAAGTAAAGTGGTAATGTTTTTCGCAAGGTATAGACCGATAGTGGAGATGAGAACACCAGTTGAAATACATATTAGAGTCCGTTTTCTTCCAATAAGGTCTGGTACTTTTCCAATTAGTATTGTGCCTGTGACTAAGCCCAATGGATAAGTTGCGGTGAGAATTGAAAGTTCCCATACAGTGAGCGGTCGTCCTATTGGATTGACTAGAGTGTCATTGGATTGTAGTTTTGGTAGTACTGGGGAAGTCCAAACCAGCATACTGCCAAAACATACTAGCAAAACATTTACTGAAAAAAAAATACATATTAATATCTCTGAAGATATAAATAATTTGATGTTAATCTAAGATACTTTTCTTTTTTTATGACAGTTCTATATCGCATTCTCAATATCGTGAAATGATTTAAAAAACCACGACAAGTAAATCTAAAAAGAATATAACAGAAGACAATGATAGAGATAAAAAAAGTGCATTATATTACGTGTATCTAAATTAAGGGTGTACGAAGATTTTACTGGGCTAGAGCCTTAGTGGTATTACTGGACTTTTTTAGTATACATACATATATTTGAATTGGCAACATGGCAGCAGTTGAAGAGATCAAAAAAGAATTGAATAAATTAAATAAAATAAAAGTAATTTAATTAGGATAATTGTGGATTAGAAAGTGTTTTTGGATATCAAGTTAAGTGAAAAAATGGTAGAGTAAGTGGAAAGTGATGAAAACGTATTAGCAGAGAACTTAAACGAACGATTAGTAATCAGGATTATAATATAAATGTGCTTCAAAATCCAGCAAATTCGGAGGTTAAATATATGCCAAATACAAACAAACAAATCGATGTTGCTGGTCACCCTCCATATTCCGTCGCCAAAAATCAAGCTTATACAGTCTGGAAACCACTTATGGAATAAAATTGTTAAAAAACTCTGGGACACGTTAACTTTTAAATTTAAATGTGCGCTTCTTAAACATAAATTTAGATATACAGCGTGATTCATGCAAGTCTGGCATAGTCCATAATCTGTATTTTAAATAGGGTCTGTTATGAATAATACAAGGTAAGATTTTCAAACTAAATGTAATTTTCTTCAAGGCAATTAATTCATAGAATACCCGAGGTAATTGAGTGGATTACATTAAAATAAAAGCTCAAAATGTTCTCCACCTTGTTGTTGGCAATAATACAGTCTCCTATAAAACTCGTCCCAAACTTTATTTAAAGTTTGGGGTAAAATATTCCGTATTTCTGTAATTAGCCTTTGTTTGAGGTCTTCCATGCTAGTTGGTTGTCTTGCATATACTTTGTTCTTCAGATAACCCCACATAAAAAATCCAAAAGAGTAATATCTGGCGACCTAGCTGGCCACTCAATAGTACCTCTTCGTCCAATCCATTTATTAAAGAAGATTTCATTCAAGTAATTTCTCACAATTTAAGCATATTGGGGTGTTGCACCGTTCTGCTGGAACCAGACAGTTTCATGCGGTAGGGTCGGATCTATTGGATTGGAATATAAGTTAGCCAACTGAGAAAGAACATCGTCTCTTAGCATGCTTAAATATTTTTGCCGCTGTCAAATTACCATCTACAAATATGGGACCAATACTATGATCTCCTATAATACCTGACCAAACATTCAACTTTTGAGGATACTGAGTGTGTGTCTCACGCATCAAATGAGGATTCTCCGCTGACCAATATCTACAATTTTGGCGGTTAACCTCTCCGTTCAATGTAAATGTTGACTCATCAGAAAAAAGAATTGTGCCAAGAGCTATTTCATTTGAGTAAATCTTCTCAATCAATCTTTCGCAGAATTCCATTCTACGATCTGGATCGTCTTCCGTTTGCGCCTGCACAAAAGTCAATTTATATGGATGAAGTTTTTCTTCATGAAGACATCTTAGGATAGTTGTGTGACTCACATTATTTTGACGTGCAATTTGACGTGAACTTGACGATTCTCTGCGACACTTAACAACATATCCACTTTTACCTCATCTTCAATGAAGTTCGGTTTTCTTTTTAATGGTTTGACATGCCCAAGTTCTCTGAATTGTGTATATATTTTAGACACAGAACCTTGCGAAATATTAGGCAACTGAGGATTCCGCTGATTAAATAAGTTTGCTACTTCAACTTGACTTCTACAATTCTCCCCGTAATCGATCATCATTAAAATCTCAATTCGGTGGGTCTCAGTCAAATATTTCATTTTTATTTCTGCAAGAAATTAGCTTTTAATTAGGAATGTACTATTTTAATGTAAAATTTCAACACACCAACAACTGATTGATATCATTCCGCATTATTTACCGATTTAGTTTAATTAGCAGACTATCTAAACAGTTTTTACCTATTCATGACAAAAAATGTTAACAAGGTTACTAAACAGAAATTTTCCCCAATATACTGACACTTAGAGTAGAAGTGTATTATCTGTATTTGGCTAATAATAATACGATAAAACGTGATAAATTATTAATTTCAAAATTTCACCTTGTATTATTAATTATTAACCATACATGATATATTTAATTGAAATCAGGATATTAAGAATCTTTTAAAAACATAAAAATATACAGGGTGTTTCATTAAAAATAAGGATTATGGACTATGTCAGACTTGCGTGGATCACCCTTTACATTGAAATTTATGTTTAAAAAGCGTACATTTAACTTTAAAAGTTAACGTGTCCCAGAGTTTTTTATTATTTTTTATAATAAGGACACAAACAATTTTATTCCATAAGTGGTTTCCACACTGTATAAGAGACACGTGAAATTATAACAACTGCAAATCAGCAATGCTCAAGTGCATTAACGTAGGCACAACACAGTTTGAAAATGAATGATATCCACAATCTTGGTCAAAACGTCAACCAACCTCGGACGGATAAAAAAATTGTGGGTAATAACAACAATAGTGAATCACAAGACAAAGTGTGGATTTATGCCGCAAAGTATAAACAATCTTATAGTACAGAAAAATTGGAAACATATCTACAAAGTTCCTCGGACATTAGTTCTCGTGTACAATTGTACGAAAACAAGGTAAATAGATCCAATTCCTTCAGAATTACGGTAGATGAAGAATTGAATTTGATTTCAACCACAGACGTGGCCGAAGGGCATGAGGGTGAGTAAATATTTTATTTAAAATGCCGTCAACAAATCTTCTAGGCAAACCAGATTCATTAACCGAAAACGACAGTAGTGAAACTATTATTTCGAATAACTATTTTATATAAAACAAAAGATATATTTAAAAAAAAATCTTTAGCAAGCTCTGACCAGATTAGCCTAGTTATAATTTTTCATGTAAACATACAAAGTTTATTAAACAAAATAGATCGGTTTAATATTTTTTTGAAAACTAAAAGATACAATATATTGTTTCTCTGAATACTGGCTCAGAGAAAACGAATTAACAACATTAAAGCTTGATGGGTATTTTTTGTCAACTTTTTATTGTCGGAAGGTAAGGGAACATGGTGGTGTAGTAATTTTTAGCAATATTAAAATATCTACTCGACCAGTTTGCTTAAATGATATATCATGTGAATACGAGGGTGAATTTTGTGCATTATATACTATAGATATTAAAACTATTTTACTAACAGTGTATTGAATCGGAAATGTGAATTTTAAAGTTTTTCTAGACCTATTTGAAAATTTATTAGTTAATTTTTGTTTTGCAGTGTTAATTTGTTAGAAATAATATTAAATGGAGATTTCAACATTGATTTCAAAAAGATTCTAATGAACTAAACAGTTTCCATGTTCTCATTTCCACTTTTAGCTTAACCATAAATATTAATGAATTTACTAGAATCAGTAGCTTAGATCTAGCTTACAACTAGATCAGTAACTTGTTTAGATAACATCTTAACAAACATAAGCAGTGATATAGTTGGTCGTGGAATTATGGACCGATGTATGTCTGATTATCTTACTTAATTTCTCTTATTAAAAACAAACTTTGACAAAAGTCAGTTCTAATACATACAGAAGACGCATAACAAGTAATGGCATCCTAATGGTAAAACAGTCATTAAATAACGTTGACTGGGCTTCAGTTTTTCTCTCAAACCAACAAGAGAATTAGCTTAATTTATTACCAAAATGTATGTAAAGTTAGCTGAAATAAATTTTTTAACAAAAAAAAACACGAACTTATAGTAAAGCTCCATATCTTGGTTTAATGATAGACTAACAGTAATGCGAAAAAATCTTTCCACAATTAAGCTAATTGTTGATTTTACAAGGGAATATATTAAGTATAAAAAGTTTAAGAAACACTATAAATCAACAATATCATTACGCGCTCCATACCGTTATAAAGATCTTCTTCGCCATGTATATCATCGTTGTTTAAACTGTGTTTAAATAAGTATACCATCAAGTAAAACAAATGTATATTCAAAAGAGAATCCCTAAAGAATGGAACATTAGAATCATTACATCTCTCGACAAGACAGGAGAAAAAGCATTATGTGAAAAGTGAAGGCTTTCCGTCGATATACAATTTTTGGTTTTCTGTTTTTCCGAAACATGCCATTACTTTTTTACTTTTATTATTCGCTTGAATTATCCTTTTTCATTTGTTTTAAACGTTTCAACGTTTGGCATTTCTTTCCCCAAGTAGCTGTAGCTTCCTTCGTGGTTGGCGTTAGTTGTTGCCCTGGAAACCATCAGGGTCTTCTAACTCTAATTCCACAAATTGGTTGCATTGCTCCTGTAGTGATCCTTTCCCAAGTTAGTATGCTCCTTTTCTAACTTGGCTGCACCGTACTGAAGACGACCAATAGTCAGAAATACGTACATACGGTTGCCTTCCATCGATATACCATTTTTGGTTTTCCGTTTTGCGAGGAGACATCCCTTTCCCTTTTTTACTTTTATTATTCACTCGCATTATTCTTTTCTATACGTATATATATATAGATATATATATATATATATATATATATATATATATATATATATATATGCATATCTAATAGTAATATAATATATGATTAGTATTATTTATATTATGTTGTATTATTTATTATACATTATAATATTATACATATTCAGATAACTTTGGCATACTAAAAATTCTATATAACATGTTTCCTTTGTCATTTCCCATGCATTTGCTTGTTCTTGTTTTTATATCATTTATTTTTGCAATAATGCAACTTTTTAGTTTAGTAATAGCTGAATTTATTAACTGAGGTACCTATTATTTTGTGTAATTTTTCATTAATAGTATACTAAGTACTTTGTTATTTTATTTTTTTGAATATGTCTCTTTTATAATAGTACTGTTGTCACCTAGTTGTCATTTTGTTTTTCGTTTTGATTATATTATGATCATGTACCATCTTCTCTACTGCCATAGTTAGTAGTGTATATCTTAATGATTGTTTTTTATAGTAACCAAAAATTTGCACCCCTTCTCTATTTTTTAACCGGAAACTAACTACTCATAGAAATCAATACAGAAGTACAAATAAGTGGCTACACAAGTAGCTAACTTGCGTAGACAAAGACGGTTGTAAAAGCGTAGTTTAAGTCGTGTGGACTTGGAAAGTGCCATAATGCAATTGAATCGTGGTTTTCTTAAGAAACAAAAATATCGCAGGAGATAATTGGTTTAGCTTAAGAATTTTTTGCGATTCATATGGTGACAACCATACGCGCATTGATTCCTAACAAGTCTTGAGTGCGTACTTAATATGTTGTATATCGGTACTCATTACATTAATAATCGTATTGGTTACCCAAAATAGTATACGCAACTCATAATTAGTTCCAATAATATTACCATAGGCACATTTAGTTTCGCTCGAAAAAGTAAACCAAAATCCTGAATAATAAAGTTGGAATAATAAACAATCGCCCGCTGTTAAACGATTTGAAATTTAAAATTTAAACGCTTATAATGATTATGTTTTATTTGTACAACAATACAGTTAAAAAATTAACGAAGATCTAATATCAGGAAGACAGCAATGAAGAGGATATTTAACAAAAGAAGAAATAAAAAAATTTTATTGCAACATGTCAGAATGCAAAACGATTAAATTGTTGAAGAAGCTATCATCACCATTACCTTCATTCCCAGTTTAATCCTTTTGGATTATGCGTATTATACTATTATGATGTGGATTAGTCCTGCTCTCCTCTGCTTTGTCGCTTTAGTCGCTAATAATGATCATATTTTATCTGTACAATTACACAGTTAAAAAATATATACGAGAATCTACTATCGGGAAGACAGTAATAAAGAGATGACTTAATAAAAGAAGGAACAAAGAAAATTAACAAATAAATAGGAAGAAAAGTTAGGAAAGATGTCAGCATGACATCTATATTTATAATCAATAAAATGTTTAAAAAGATTATCATCACCATTATCACCTTCACTCCCAGTTCACTAACTTCGGATTATGCGTATTATTCTATTCGAATGTGAATTAGTCCTCCTTCTCACTGCTTTATCTCTATTTTTTTTTATATTTACAGTTCTTTTTCCATTATTTATTTTGATCATTTTTAGGGCATTTTCGATGTCATTTCACCTTTTTGTTCTTGGTCTTCCTTGGCATCTTCGTTGAATTTAAGTCCACCTCGTAACTTTTTTGCAGGTCTTGTGATGATATAATAGTTATGTCCTCTCTATTAAAAGCATTTTGATTTATTTACAGAATTTTGTATATATCTTCTATTATATTTCTATTTCTTCAAAAGGCTTAATTTTCCATTATAATTCTTTCTTGAATTTTTTTTAGATATGTCTATGGTCACTCACATGTAGATGAACGTCTCTAGGTTTCCAAATTTAAAGTTTTGAGTCTTTAAGTGCCACTCTTTGCTTTTCTTTTTTTTTCTTAGTTGCAATTATGTATATTATGTTATTTTTATTAGCATATTTTAATTGGTCATATTTGTTTTCCTTGGCATTTCCTTAACTGTGTTAGGGAGACGGAATTCACCCCTTTAAAGTCCGTGGTTTGTCGTTAACTTCTCTGTTAGTTTTGTTAGTATCTTTATTATCTATAGCTTCTTTATTGCTTTCTGCATGATATCTTTCTATATAGTATCTACTGTTCTTTTAAAGCCAATAAATACTATACGACTTTCTCTGTTCTATTTCCAAAATTTTTCCAGAAACTGTTTCAGTTTTGGCAGCATGGGTTTTGATTTTTATATTTAACATATTTGC